ATCAAGATGTTATTATCAGATATGAAACAAATCTTTGATTGATCACACAGATTTACCGTTTATCTAGCCGTTTATGATTGTGTATCAAATCCTCAACTCAATATATACTCGTAATTAAATGGCCCAAACTATAATTAAAACTATTGAAATTGGTTTGTTAACATTTCCAAATCCATTTTAAGTGAAAAAATTTCTTTTTTTGTGAATTCATCTAAAAAAAATGCTAGGGGTTTTGATCTCAATCAAAACACTGCGAATATTGCCAATATTCGCTAAATACGTACATTCAATGCATAATTCCTAAAATATGCATAGAATATATTCAATTGGCGCCATATTGGAATTTGGTTGACATATTGAGCCGTATTTTGCGAATATTCTGCGAATATTCTCGTAACATATGAATTTTACTCAAAAACCACCGAATAATATATATTCGCGAATAGATAAATTCCCCCAACAAAATTTGTTTTTTAAAAAAATAAGATAATCAATACAAATATCCTATAGTTGTACCAAAACAGATGTGATTGATGATCCATACACAGAAAACATCATTAGTTAAATTATAAGTACATTTGAGAACTCACCAAAAATTCTCAGTTTAATCAGTTTGCTTTGGAATAGATACGACTAAAATTTAGTCAAAAACAGAGCACTCTGACCTAGGGGCTTTTATGATACAAAATATACACAAATATTCACAATATACGCGTCTTATTCATCATATATGCAAATATATACGGCATAAATGTGCACTGAATAATAATTCGGCATTATATTTCAATACAGTATGTTTCATTATAGAGAGAGGTTGATTTTTTATAATAAAACTCAAGAGTTTTACAAAATTATTTTATATACATTCTATTTAGTATCTAAGCTACGGCGCCACAAATTAATATTTAATCCATTCTCCTGCCTTCTCGATCACACAGGCACATCTATTCGGCATACTTTTGCTCAAATTTTCAGCATATTCGCTTTGAAAACCTTTCCACTGGCGCTGAATGAATGAACTGAGCTGCTTCAAATTGCGGTATATTTTACCACGAAGCCATGCCTTAATAATAGCCCAAAAATTTTCGTTCGGATTGCAATCGGGTGACTGTGGCGGCCAGTCCATTTGTTTAATGTCATTTTCCTCTTTTCAAGCATTGCATAGACGACTTTTGTGTTTTGGATCGTTGTCTTCTAATAGAAGCCAATTCGAATTGTGGTTGCCATAGAACTTCTTAGCGATGGGTAACTGTGTCGATGAATAATGTTGGTTCATCCTCACGGCGCTTGGAATCCCCGTGAATATGGTCAACTTTCCAAAACCAGCTTCACAAAAGCAACCATAAGCATGCACCTTTTTCGGATACTTTACCGTGCGAACGACCATTCTCTTTTGGGCTCTAGACTAGGCATGGGTAGTGCTATTCACCAGCCAAAAGAATGACTCGTCAGTGTATATAACTTCGCTCCAATCTCTTGTTGAATTTTGCTTTGCCCCGTCAGTGCCTTTTTCTTCTGGTTTTCTGTCAAAAGCGGTTTCTTCAATTTACTGCGATAACGAACACCGGCAACATCTAATCTTCTCCTGATAGTAGAGCGCGAGACCTCTATTTTAAGACGGCGTAGCCGTTCAACACCTTGGCTCAACAACATACCTAAATTTTTATCGAACAACTTGACTCTCCGTTTATCTTCCTGTTGCGAGGAGGCTCAGTTTGGCTTCAGATTGGGCTGGTCGTTCACTTTTTTTTCATGCTTATACTGCTGGATTCACTTTATTACGAACCCTTTTGACTTTTTAATGTATTTAGCAGTCGATGTGATCGACATTCTTTGTCCTTTTGGATGCAAATGCAGAAAAACGGCTTCAAACCGTGAATGAAAATGTTCGGAAATAATGTTTTCGTTGCACAACAAACACTGTACTGATTTGAGAGCTGTCATTGTTAATTGGCGTAGTAGCTTAGAGTCTCATATGGCAACACCAAAAACATTTTTAGGATATTTGAAATTTGTGGTAGTTAAATCAACCTCTCTCTATAATGAAACTTACTGTATTTACCTTAAAAGTAGTATACGTTTGAACATAGAAGCCTACACTCTGACACTCGATATTTAGATCAACAAAGAAGTATTGATCAATAGATTTAATGGAGTATAGTCTGTTCAATAGTAGTCACATCCGTCGGCACAAAAATACAAATTGATGAAATTTATGTGAAAATACTTATGGTGTCAAACGAACAAATGCAAAATAAACATTTTTGTCCGTCTCTCCGTCCAATTAATGAATTTTGCAAAATGCCCGATTTGAAAATCACTATCTGTACCGTTGACGCAATTAATTTTACTAATAATGTTTTGCGTGTGTAATAATATGAATACTACAATAAGCATACAATGTGTACAAAACTGTACAAATACTTATGGTTAGAATAATATCTACAGATTTTATCGTCAAAATATGATACTTTATGTGATAAACTTGTAAACATTTTCAAAAAATGTAAATGAAATAGATTGTGTATGTTATTCGTAGTAAAATATTGTTTTCAGATTATTAAAATACTTTCACATTCAAGACGATAAATTTTTGCTGTTTTATTTTTTTTATCGATGCTGAATAACTCCAAAGTTTAAACTGAAGGGTTTAAAAAATGTTGAAAAAGTGGCTATAATTTATTTGATTTGAAAAATGGGAAAATCAGCTCCAAGAATGTGTTCAAATTGTTGATGCTGAAAAAGAATGTTGAAATAAAAAAAGTTTATTTTCGCCATTAAATTGCTCGATTGCTTCCGAAATCAAAATATTTGCCTTCTGTAAAGAAAAGCATTTCCTTGGAAAATAAATTCAAAGACGTGCGCAAAATGGAAGAAAATTTATCAAACCGAATTTCATTGTGGCAAAGATGTGAAACCAATACAAAATTTACAAACAAAAACTAAAAAAAAAGAAGAATATGAAAAAAACAAATAGAGTATGAAAATATACAGATACGCATAAGTTGAAAGTCGTCGTATCCTGGATAGCAGTTGAATGGTTGAATTGTGTGTATGCGTAAAAGCAAAAGTGCTTTTTCACATTTCTTGAAGAATATTTATTTTACGACGTCATACCGCACATTCAGCCAGAGAAAACGAATACCTCGTTTCGCGAAGCAAAAATAATTCGCATCAGCCAATAAGATTGTTTCATGAAAATTTAAATATTTCCCATTGGCTGTGCTCATACGCGGGGATAGTTATTGCGTTCAATTCCAAGCACATCGCATAGCAACACCGCCGCATTTCTTTTTCGCTTTTACTTTACGTTCCATTCTCTCTTCGTACGTTAGAAAACGGTCTTTTTCTCTGTTATGGAAAATTTTCAAGAACGCTCTCATTCGTTCGCTCTCTCCCTCTCTTTTTCAGCGGCTTCACCTTCGGTGGATGTGTAGTTTTACACATTCGTTTCGATTTCCATTTACATTGAACATTGCCGTTCGTGTAAGAAATTTTCTTGAAAAAAGTTCGAGCGAAACAATGCTCTTTGTATTTTCTCTAGACGCCCCAACATTTTAGATAAGATTTATCGATTTACGGTGAAGTGAGGTGATGCAAAGCGTTTTCACTTCGTTTCGCGTTTCCCCCTTTTTCATGTACACATATTTGAAATCTGTTCAGAGGAAACCGCACAACGACCAAAAAAAATTCCACTCACTGAACAGAACTCAAACGCTTGATTTATTGAAATACATGCGTTTCGTTTTAGATGATTATTTTCTTTCTTTTTTCAACCCACACCAATAAACAACTGAACCGAATCAAATACATACATCGACCATTATGGGCTTTTGAAAGTGTTCAAAAGTATTTTAAGTTCGATGTAATATTGTATTTTGAATCATTTCAAACTTTTAATTTAAAAATTTCTCGTTTTTAGTGTTTTAACAACAGAAAAACAAACGCAAGATGAATATTTTATTGAATTATGTGAAAATAAAGAAATAAAAAGTACATTTCTTGGTAATCGAACATTTTCCAAAGAAAAAAAGCTTGAGTTAGATTTTTAACAAACCATATGTAGGTCCATCTGATGTTTGATATTTGAACACCAATGTTGACACAACACAATCGAAACCAGAGGCTATCACGTGAGACATGATATAGTATATATATAAGTGGTTCCACCAAACAATTCAACAGATATCTTATTATCAATTTTATTATCTACAACAATTCTTTTCGTAGCAAATTCAAATATTAGCAAAGTATTCAAGGCATAGCTGTCCACGATCGTTCGTTTGTAACATATTTTAGGACGAAACAAATCTGATTGTATGAAATGAATAAAAACACCAAAAAATATGCCACGATCAAACGGTGTTTGTGGGCATAATTCATGGACTCCTCTGAACACGAACATATCAATAAGTTTGGAACAAATTGTAGGAGATGATATGAATATGCGTTGGTGCGCGATTACTATAATTGTTGTATAAAGAATAAAAAAGCCTGAATGCCCTGAGTCAAATGTGACATCTTTATGATTACTACTGTGTTAAAACATCTATGGACCTTGAAAATGGTCTGAACTATATTATTGTATGTTAAAATCATCATTTTTATTGTTCTAGCATTATCCCCATTGTAGCTCCAAATTTATGGCTTTTTAGTAAAATGTTTTGGATTTTCTATATACAAGCAAAGCCATTGTAATCCGAAAATCCAAAATTGACGAAAAGATTCTATTGATTTCGTAGAAAATATCATCTTCAGCCTTTTACAGTACGCCTTTAATTCCTTCATGTCTTATCATGCTAATTATCGCTATTAATGGATGTTTTGTTTTGTTAAAAGGCCAACTTCACTTTAAACATTTCGTATTGTTGGCATTTCGGATCGTCTATCGACGTTTTTGCCATTTAAAACAAATTTTCTGAATTTTTTTATGTGTCATTTTTTACGTATTGGTATAAATGACTATTGGCGCCACTGTCGCTTGTTTGTTGTTAGAACATCATTAAGTCAACATAACATATATAAATTGTATGTTTCTCTATTCTTCATCAAACAGTACGTTTTATTTCCAATCTGAGTATAATATTGTAGTTTTTTCTGTTTATGTTTGAATTTCAATCATTTATTAATTGATAAAATATTGAATGAAAAAAAAAAACTTTTCAAAGCTTTAAATTAAAAAAAAAAATTTTTTTTTAGATATAATTTGCCCGTGATATTACATTCTTTTCAATGGATATACCAAGTCCAGACTCGAGAAAAAATATTCTGGACGTTCTGAACAAAGATTGTGTTCAAGAAATATTACGTCGTTTAATGTGTTTAGAAGATATTCAAAGCGCAGCCGAGGTATGCAGTCGATTTCAAGAATGTGCACAAAGGTGTTTTGCGGTGATGGAAAAGCATACATTTGAATGGATTGGAATTGGATGGCCGGGAAATGGTGCAAATAATTTGCAATATGATCATCTCAAAAGGTTCTTAGTCATCTTTGGTCATTTGATTCGATCGATTAGATGGCTGCCCCACGGATATCCCGAATATGATCAAAATACAATTCATATAATTGCGAAATGGTGTGGTAAGACACTAAAGGAATTTCATATATATGAATATAACTTAATAATGAATGACCAAATACAATTTAAAGCGTTGGAAAAATGGTCGTTTTGTGATGCATTACCGCACAACTTCAGGCTGGATTCACCATTGAGATGTCTATACATCTCCGGTGATGCCGTAGGACAGCGACCATGGTTTGTGCGTGAGTTTCCACATTTGGAACAGATCCAGTTTGGTCAATGCGATAACCTAACACACAGTATATTAATTGAGTTTTTATTACTCAATCCGCAGTTGAAGAGCCTGGAAATTTATGAATGCCAGAGCTTGCCATATTTGACACTCGAAATTATTGCAAGTTGTTCACCAAATCTCGAACATCTGTGCTTTTTCGATTCGTACTTTTTGAGAAGAACGTATATCTTACAAAAACGAGATGTTTTGAGGCCATTGATCAAATTACGAAAACTAAAAAGTTTGGATTTTCGATGTTCATATCGATTTTCTTATCGATTTTCGTACCGATTTTCATACCGACAATTGATCAACTTTTTAGTTGAAAATGATTTACCAATTGAACGATTGGCACTCAATCCGATGGATACGCGCATTTCAAGCCAATACATACCAACATTGAAAACACTTATACACATTGTTATTAAAGGAAACATTACAGTAGATAGGCTCATCAGATTGATGAAAACGCAAACCGATTTAAAGACAATTAGTTTTGAACCATATTGTCAATTGGAAACTGCCACATCCGTTTATCATGTGTCAAAGATTACGGAAACTTTAAAATATGGACTAAACTTACATCGGGTGGTGTATTTTGGACCTGGATTTGATATCAATTTAAAAGAATACGAATCAATTCTGGCCCTTTCAACCGGTCGTGTTTATGTTGAAATTCAAACATCACAAACCAAGATCGATGTTCCACACAGCGTTTTACAAGCGAATCGTAAATGGGTGAACATTAAAAAGTATCGTTTGGGTGCTAATATGCGGCAATGGTAAAGCCTTATTTTTTGTTTTATTTCGTAATTTCATCACTGGATTCTACATATTTATTACAAACCATCATTGAACTACTTCTGTTAACTCGAAAAGGTTTTTGAGAAATTTCAATCATTTTTCAATTAATTATTTCGAACATTCTGAATATTTTTCGATTTGAAAAATAAAAGAAAAGTAGCAATAAATACTGATGTCTTATTTAATTTCAGAGCAAATTCTAACTTTTTTAAAAATAAAACAACGTGTGTACATTGTATGTGTGAAATTTTATGTATTTTTATACTCTTAAATAAGCAAATTTATAAATAAAATCTTGACACCTTTTTTTAATTTTAGCTTTATTTTTATTTAAATGAATGTCTCTGTTTTCTGAATTTCAATTTTGATTGGTACGTAAAATCGGTGACGTAAAACTCAATGTAAATTACTTGGTTGAGTTGTACGTGTCGATTTCAAAATATGGAATTTATTAATAAAAATTCCGATTTCGATATGTACATTGTATAAACGATCGTTGTGAAAACCGTAAAAATAATTTGCCAGCTTGTTGCACCAATCTTGGAACGGGTGGAAAAAAGTGAACAGCTGAAATCAACTGAAAATGAATTTTGTTAACTAAAACCGTCTACCCAGTCGACTTTAGTCGTCTATTTTTCTGATTTCAAACAGACGACTATTTTGGGACGTTTTTGGCTATAGCCAACTGCAGACAATATATTTGGATTTTGTCATCTGGATAACGTTAGGCGATAATTAAAGTTGATTTGAGTTATATTTTTCTCTACTGGAATCGACTTAAAAGTCAAGCAAATCAACTTTAAATGACTTTAATCTCAGTTGGCTTAAGCCAAAAACGTCTCAAATTAGTTAACTGACTGGTCAGTCAGTAAATTTTCACACAATTTCGCAATCGGATCCAAACATGTTAATTGAATTTTAAGAAAATGTTTGATTCATTTGGATTTTTTTGTTAATGATTTAATCGTAAATTATGCCTCATCAAAGTTGTAAATATTCCAAACAGATGTTCATCCAAATTTACTTCACCTTTGCAGTCAGTAAACTGCATTGTTTGTAAATGGCTTGCTTAAAATGAGTTGAACGAATTTTACATATTAAAAAAAATGTCCCAATATTTGTAATGAATGTTTTAAAAGGAAGATACATAATTGAACAGATACCGCCAAATTAAATCGCACTGCTGGAATGCTCGTCCATTGTATTCGATCCGTTTCATATCGTTGAAAGTGTTTGAACATTCGTATGTAAATATTGGTAAGAATGCGAAAGGTGGTTGTAGACGGTACAAAGTTTCTTGACACTCTTAGTCATCCTTCGTTGCAGCAATAATTATGAAATGATGATATACTCTGTGAATTTTTTTCTTTTGATTATTTATTGCGCCTTTTTTAAAGATGTTGCAGAAGATAAAATCAATGTTTTCTTGCATTTTATTTTCATTTAAATGCCAGCGTTGGAATCAGTATCATCGCTAAAGCCAACAAGGCACTTCGTCAACAGTCTCTAGAGATTTGCCTATATCTAATTTGAAAACAGATTATTTAATAAAATCCATCAAAACACATATTAATCGTATACATTTTGATTTGAATTACTGCTGATTATTTGTTATTTGTGAACACATTTGCAAATAAAATTGGAAGTGTTTTAATCGAACAAATTCACATCAGTTACCACATTTTCGAACATATTTATTTACTTTTTCATTTTTTTCAGACAAATGGCCAGTAAATCATCAATTTGTCAGCTCCGCTTGAACCATTCAATTGAAAGTGAAACTGACCTTTTCAACTGAATGATTCAAGTGAAGTATTGCAAAAATTTAACTTCGAAATGAAATTCTTCGCGGTGACACTACTACTGATCACTAGAGATTGCGTTGATCTTACTCAGATCTCCAAAACAGGTACAATTTGATGTAAGTAATTGCCATTAGATCTATCTAGTCTATTAAACGAAATCGATTGCTCGCAGATTAATTATACAAAAATTCTTTTTTGGAGTTGTTTTGATTGAATATCGGAACTGTAGATAATTTCTGCAGACAAAACTAAAAAAAATCGAATATATTTTTTGTACGAAACTTTCCCTTCTTCTCTCAATCCTCGACAATGGTCATCCATAGGTAATATAATAGGTTTTTGGACAGCAATGAAGGTGTAGACAAAACGTATGTAGATTTGCATAAACTTCAAAAATATTCATTTTAAATGTAAAAAATAGGTGTTTTGATTGTCAGGACAAGAATAGCACGTATTATTTATTTTACCAGCTTCACATGACAGTTTTTGAAGTGAATTTCAAAGCGGCATAAACAGTAACGTTAATTTTTCAATTTAAAGTAAAATATACATATCCGAAAACTTAGCATAGTTAATAGGAACCATTTTTTCTTACCCAAAACCAAATAAATAGCTATAAAAAACATTTCCTTACGAAAAATGAAAAAAATGGCGAAAAATAATTTAATACAAAAAAATATTATTGAAAACAATTTTTTTGAAATTTATTTAATTTTGTCTGTACTCGATTTTACTAAAAACAGAGTTATAACTTTTTTTCGCAAAAAAAATTTTTTCATTTAAAAAAGAACAAATAAATTTAAACCCATGTTTAAAGAAAATTCACTGTAATAAATTGTATCGCAATGATTCAAAAATGGCATGTAACATAATGTAAATAAAGAACTTCATTTTGAGAATATAATTCGTCGTCAATGTGTGTACACGATATAGATGGAAACGACCACCCTTTGTTTTGATACGAAGCAGCGCATAGGATGCGGGTAAACCGGAGATGAATGCGAGCAGCCGTAACAAGAGGGAAAAAAGTACCATGAACAATGGGTTTGCGTACACGCGCGAAATGAAATCCGGTAAAAAGAACGGTTTGAAAATGTAGTGCAATGGCGGCAATCTCGCGACTCACTTCACTGAGATGAATGAATACAGATAAAGGGGTGGGTACATCTCATTTGCTATTGCCTGTACCATAAAATAAGATGGTGATGTTGATGCTGCCGCCAATGCCACCGCGTCTACATTTATGTGTTTGTATGTGTATGTATATGTAAGTGTTTCTTTCTCTCTTTCTCGGCACAACATTTTAAATATGTTGAAAACAATTCGTTCGGCAATGTTAAGAGGTGAAAGCATTTCATAATATACTTTTCTTTTTCAACAAAACTCTTATTTATCCCTTATACAAACGCACACGAATGCTAAGCGCGTACATATGCCTTATTTCATTGTTAAAACCCTTAGAAATTTCTGAGCGAGCGCAATATATTATTTCATTACGTTTCGTCGAAAGAGTTTTGCCGACGATATTTAATAGACATTCAAGCGAACGAACGAACAAACGACAACGTAATATGTAAAAGTAATACGCAATCTGTTTTAAATGCATGAAAGTTATTTCTTGAGAAACATAATAATAATAATTTATTTACGTACCGTTGACTCGATCTTTGTCGACGACGTTTCAATGAAGAACGCCAACATTTACATAAGTTTTCATATTTTCTTTGCTCAAACACACATCTCACTCCATCCACCGACGTTGCTATTTTTCGTATTTAAAATATCGCCAATTACTCTCTCTCTCTTTCTCGCTGCAATCATACAACATACATTTTCTACCGATGGTATTTTATATGGCAGCCTGAAATTATGTAGACCGTCTTTGATTTCAATGTCGGTACGCCGTATAGATGTTTATATAAGTTAGATGCCCATGATTTCGTTTAATGTCTCTATAGACAAAATTATTTTACCTTTTTGTCAGTAATAAATTGAGAAGCCTATTAAGATGCCGTCCATGTAATATACTTATTATTCGTGGCAAAATCAACTCATGATTTCTGCCTAAAACACAACTCACTGTCACACATATCAACAGCAAACATTCATTTGCATATATCTGAAATTGCACTCAACTTTTGTTCGACAAAATAAATATACACATGCCTTTTTGGATCAACATTCTTCATTCCCTTTCTTATTATGAACCGATTCTTCCAAATGACGAACATGAACATCACCTCACATAAATTCGAAACGAAGAAATGGATTTGTATTTATTAAAAGTAGGATTTATTTTCCCCATAATGTTCGATGTAATTATAAATAGAAATGAGAAAGACACAGAGAGCAACCACTTTGTTTTGCTGAGTAATAAGAAAGAAACGACCATTTGATTCTACTAAGTACGATAGTCATCTATCGTTTCAAAAGAAAATAATATAAATTGAAAAAAAAAGTTATAGAGAAGATTTGAAGAGAAAGACAACACTTTTTCATGCTCGATTTGTTGTCTATAATTAATTTTACAACTCGATAAGCATTTAAATCATTTTTGGCACACGACATACGTCACCTATCGTTGACTCATCATGAAGAGCGAGTCATCATGTCTAACCAATTCGAAATGCACATGCACAGTGTGTTCCAAAAATCAATTGAATGCACATTTGCATATTTTGAATGGTGCACCAGATGTTGATACGGTTGAAAAATATTGACATTCCATATCTACAATGCCCAAAAAAACAACATGAAAATTAAAATAGAAAAGCAACCAAAGCTTCCGATCAAAGTCCATTATAGCATCCTGGAATCACTTTCAGCAAAACTTTCGACATAACCCTGTTGTTTCCGATACTAAACCATATGCCATATTCACCATATCTATCTAGATGAATATTGAATTTGGCAAACATTCCATTTCATTATGTGTGTATTTTCCAGTAAATTTGGAAGTTGTTGCTTTTGTATTGTTGAATTGGAAGTTTTAAAACAAGCATGGCATCGAAAGCGTTGCTCAAAATCTTTTCACGCTAATGAGAGGAAGCATTTATAATGCTTTAACTTAACAATATGTGTACGGGTTGCATACAATAATATACATGCAAATATACAACGCCAATGCCAAGAAAACTTCGTTTTCAAACTCTCGAACCCGAACATTTTCGTTGGTTTATGTAATGTATATTCATTATAATTGATAATGGCAACCAGTAAAATTAATGAAAAC